TAAAGCCTACTTGCACATTGGCTGGAGGGAAGTGATATTTAAATGGTATTAATTTAGAGAAATTACTATATGAATGTCCATCCAGTCTGTGTCTCTTTAGTGTTTTCCTTGCTTATACACTTACAGACTTATAGATCTATTTCTCTTTCTAACGCTTTTTCTAAAATGAGGTAGTAGGTTTAAAAACTTCATGTGTATGTATGCATACCTATATACACACATGCACATATATATAAAGAACTTTCATTTAAATCTCTTAAAACACTTGGCAAACATATATTAAGCATCAAAACATTCAAATCCATCTGCTTCATCCATCCATCTGTCCACTCATCCATCCAGCACGTACAGTGACAGTACACGTGTTTATATACACAGCAGACCTTGTTCTGCTCTCATTTTCATTTAAACCTAATTTATTTTAGTGCGGTTTCTCTCAACTCTCACTGGTCTGACATGAAAATTAGTGTCTTGTGTATCTGTATATACAGCAAATATATACCCACAAAGTGTAATGAACATATGCTGTAATGTGATCTTAATGTAAACAGGTTTGTTCTTCGGGGTTCTCACCTCATCCAGATGGGAGTTGACAGTCAGTATTTTACACCATTACAACTGTGTTTAGTTTTTCAACACATCTTGCCCCTGCCTTTGATATGATCAGAAAATAAACATTCTTGTCTTGATTTGCTCAGCTGCCGTCTGAGCCACAAAACCTTTCTAGATTTCAGCTTACGTCCCGAGCTGGACTCCCATGCTGCTTGTACAAATCTGTTGAATTCAATAGATGTATTTAGCCTTATTAAGATGCAGGAAAGCAAATATTATCCTCCAGTGATGCAGCAGATAACAAGAGTTAATAACAAGAATGTGCTAAAGATCACAGGATTCCCTGTAAACAAGATGCTGCATTGCACAGAGAGCATCTTGTCTGCATATGTTTCCTAAGTAACTAGGCATCCTCTTGGGCTTCTTTAGTTATTTTAGAAAGTTGTGTAAACAGTATTATCTACTTAATGCCCCAAATGATATAATAATTGATATGGAAATGGGGCAAAGCTCAATAGATTGGAGTACAGCTCTCCATGGACTCTTGGAGATTATCTGCCCAGATTTTATTTAAATTTTCTTCTAGCTGGTGAGCATACAGCCTGTGGTTTGTTAGACATGCTAAGCAGATGTTGGCTGGGCAATAATTTCTGGCTTTTTCAAAGAAGATTTTAAAGGTGAAAATATATTTGGATTGTTATCTGATGTGGTCTGATGCATAGTGTGATGTGTATCTCAGCTGAAGGTTGAACGAAGTGTATAAAAATAGGTTGCTAATATTTAGGGTACTCTATATTGTTGGTACAATTCTCCTTGCTTAAAATATAGGAGCAAAAGAAATAGCAGAGTTCTAAGGGGAAGTACTTAAAAATGGAAAAATGTATTTGAAAATATTTTTCTGTTTCATCTTGTAGAAAATGATTGTGAAACCTGGGGATTTTTTTTTGCATGTTCTAAAAACCCTAACACTATACTTTCTATTTGCTATTTGTGTACAATATCAGAAAAAATATTATTCCTATTCAGTCACTTAAAACTTCTTTGAATGTTTTAGTCAACGTTTTTCTTCTTCCATAGATACCACGTGCAATTCTCCCAGGTATCTGAAATCAGGCAAAAATTAAGCTGTGTTGGATTTGACCTTGCAAGATGAATTTAAAGGCATGCACCCATGACAAGGCTCTGTTCTGCAGATCTGTGAAGCTGCTGATGCTTACCACTTTCTAGGTAGGTAATATCTTCTCCAGACCACTGTGCTAGAGAAGGTCGCTTCTCATTTACACCCCAATTTTCATAGCTGTGAAGTGGGGAAAATGATTCTGGTATTGCTTTGGAGCACAAGGATAAAATGTAAGTAAAATACAGCTTAAAAAAAGAGGGCAAAACAATGTTATCAGTATTTAAATTTAAATCTGAGATATCATTAGACTTATCAAGGTCACTCAGTAGGCCTGTGACATTGCCCAGGGCACAACCTTGTCTCCAGACTTTCTGTGCACTAAATCAAACTGCCTGCTGAATACGGAAACTGGATGACAAATGTTTGTAATGTGAGCAGTACTAGTGCCAGCAACTACTCATTTCCATGTCTTTAATTGAGCTGATGAAAGTCTTTGTTAAAAGCACACGTTGTCTGAAGGGAACAGGACTTTTCCCGCTGAAAGGAATTTAGTGTTTTTTATCACTTCAATATTGTGCACCAGTGCCGAGCAGAAGTGAAATGGCTGAGAGGAAGCAGGAACTACCTGCTCAGTCCATTTCATGCTGTATTTACACATTTGTGGCAATGGCAATGCTTCCTTCTTTCAAAGGGGCTTCCCTGGTGCTGCACCACCCACCACTGCTGGCCTGTGTGCCCTGGGGCAGCTCAGCTGAGACCCCAGCCCCATGCAGAGCAACTGGCAGCTCAGAAACAACAGGAGAGGGAGGTTTGGGGAAAAGATTAACCTTTTGTGAGCTTTTGTGAGCCTTTCCTAAAGCAGCTGGTACCTTCTCCTTGGGCAGAGCTCAAGAGGAAGGAGGTCGCTTCTCAGGAACACCAAGGAGCTGGGGCCGAGAGGTTGCTGCAGATGCAGTGTTGAAAAGACTCTCCTGTGAAGGCATTTGGTATGGGAGAATTGCCCAACAGACAGGTTGCTTTGCCTTTACACCATTTCGGTATTTTTTTAGTCCATTCCCTGCCCCCATATTAGAAGGAAACTGATGTCCCTGTGTTCTGAGGCACTTCTTATGCACAGGGACAAAGTCGCCAATTATAGGGTCATTTTAGTGTTCTCAGAAAAAATGGGCTTATTCCAGTGAAACAATGTGTTTTTTTTTTCTTTTTTGGCACTGTTTAGGGTTTTCTGAGTGAAATTAATTTTACTGTTAACCAAATTGTTCCTCCTTACGTTCCTAATGTGCACAGCCATGCTGAGAGAAATTGATTAGCAATGGACCAGTTAAACCTTTGGTGATGGAAAGTTATAGCATTGCCACAAGTGACATCTGTTACTTCTCATCTCTGGTGTCCCTCCTTCCTGATGCTTGTCTTCTCTACAAAGCATGTACTTGTGGACCCCTGTAATCTTGTGGTTGGTCGTAGGATGAACGTCTGTGGACACAATTAGCTCTTCAAACACTGTTCTACAGGAGCCTGAGGAGTATCCAACACAGCTAAGACAAAGTACATAATAAGGGGAGGGAGCAAAGGGACAATATTTTTCATGTTTTCACCATAAGTTGCTGTGGAGATGGAGCAGGGTCATGGCCATACACCCTTTCTGTGTTATCTGTGTGGGTCTGGGATGCAGGCTGCAGACACGCTTCCTTCCTCACAGCTCTGTTGCTGATTCATTCATGATCCTCTAAGATGATGTTACCTTTGATCTGCTGTAATTGTCCTGCAGCATGCTATCTTGTGGGAAGATTAGTCCTCATGTCTTTTAACTAAATACTCTTATTTCTCTGACATTTGGTATCACTAGAAAAAATAATAATATATGTCAAATAACAAATAAATAATCCACGTATTTAGAATTTAATACCTAGCTGTTAAATTCTACTTAAAATATTAACCTTCCATTCTAGAGCCTTCTATTATTTTGTATTCTTTCCAAGCTATCCTCCTTGTAACATCACACAGCAAAATTTTTAAGGCTGAGTGCATTTTCAATTAGCTGATTTCCTTATGTGTCTGTGAGATAAATTAATATAGTTATTCTTAATTTATAGGTGGAGTCATAGTAGTGAGTGCAGTGCTCATACCTGGAGAACAGGCTTGGAAGTGCCCAGCAGACCATGTTCAGCAGAGACTAATGGCCCATGTAAGCATGACCTTGTTAATTACAGTATTTTATGAGAATTAATTTATAGGATTATTAAAACACTGGTGTGGGAGAGATAATAGAGTTGAGAATTCCAGGCAGCAGGTAAACACTGAGTTTTCCAGCAGTTAGGAAGCTTTCCAGGAGGTACTGGGGCCCATACAGGCACAGCTTTCATATCTGTGGATGGGGTTCCTGAAAGAATCAGCTATATCATTGCAGAGCCTGCAAGATGGTACCTCCATCATGTGCCCCAGGGCACAAACCTATGGCAATAGCCCATTTACACAAACCTCCAAAAGGGAATAGACAAGCACATGCTTTGCACAGACTGTCTGCTAACCATGTGTCTCACAGCTTGATAATCAGAACTAAATACTACACTTATATTAGCCAGATGTTCCCCTCCACAGCATCCTTCTGTGGTTCCTTTTCATGATGTATATATTGCATGTGGTATTGCATTTTCTACTTGGGTCAGAGCTGTGTTTAAAAATCACCTCAAACAAGAATGGGGCTTCAATACAAGCCATGAAACTGTATCAGCTACAAAAAGGAAATGAAGTGTATTCCCTTATCTCCACTGCAACCATCACCTCTTGTATTTTCCGCTCCTGCCAAAGCTGACTGTAAATGTTGCCTCCAAACCCTCCCCTTAGACCAGTTGCCTTCTGTGGGAACAGAAATGATCCAATCATCTTAAGAGGTATGGCAAAGTGCTCCTTGACGGTGCTTCAGTCGGAGGAGTAAAAATTACAAGCAAGCCAAACCAGTCATTCTGCAGATGCTTAAGTATTTTATTCATTATATTTTGCTGTTCTGACAATACACATGACATGGGCTATGTTTACAAAACTGTCAAAAAAAAAAAAAGCAAATCACAAAGAATTTTTTTGTTACCAATTTCTTTCCAAAACTTTGGATAAGCCTAGGTGTTACTAATATCTATAGAGCAAATACAATATTGTCCAACATAAATAAAATCTCTTTCATATTTAAAAGGGACACTAACATTTAAGTTTTGCTAAGTATAAATGTCTATCATCCAAGCATGTGATTGAGTTCTTCCTCTGTCGGGAGCTGTGTTCAGGATGAGGAGCTGATGGCTTTGTTGCTTAACAAAAGCCAAATTCTTTCGCAGGTTCACTGCACATACTCTCGAACTGCAAGTTCTTTCAGGGTAAAAATTTTTACTGGATCTTTTTTTGCCTTCCTTTCTTCCAGCTTCTTTTGCAATGCCAGAAAATCCTTGCCAAGTTCGTATGCCAAAGTGATCATTGTTTCCAACAAGGGTATGTAGTACCTGTGACTGGTGTGCACACGAAGGTGTAATAGAGCCTTCTCTCCATACTCAAAGGCACTGGCTGGGTTTTCCAGGTCCTTGTGACACACCACGATGGCACACAGAGTGGGCACAACCGAAACAGGGTTGCCTCTCGTGAGCCGTTCCTGCAGACCGATGACTTCTAACAGAATTTCCAAAGCTTTAGTGTACTGGCCGCCCCGCAGGCAACCATATGCTTCCTCAAGCTCTGGCCTTGTTAAAAAGTCAATAAATTTTTTTGATCTTCGGATATATTTCATAGAATATAGAAGTCTCAGGTAGTCCTTAAAGGCTAATTTCCTCTCATTGATTACTTCTTCTGTGAAGTTCCCAGTCAGAGTTTTTCTGGGGAAGGTCACGTCTTCCATTTCTTCACTGAAGTCTTCCAGAAGTTTTCTGTGCAGTTTCTCGAAGTCTGAATAGCGCCGTTCAATTATAGATTTGTTGCAGTCAAAACTTCCTGTTTGCAGAATGATGATTTTATACATCTAGTACAATAAAACAGAAGAAGCAGCATCAGAATGACTGTTCTAGCCTTGGTGCAGCTTGTGTTTGTAACTGCTTCAGAAAGGCTTTGTGCTTGCATATTCTGCTGCTGAAACCTTCCTGCACCAATCTTACATGAGTCGTCTGCTACACTCCTATGGTTTGTGGTTCTGCTCCTGCACTAATTGCAAGATTAGGAGTCTGGTGCAGGGTAGACCTTTAAGAACTGGATCCATCAAACATATAATTCCCACCTCCTCCAGTTTTACATTCTTGTCACCACACTTTATCTTAGTGTATATGAATAAGCTTGTAGATGAACCAAGTACCAACTGATTCTGTCCTGCAAGGTGCTACATGGTGATCTAGCAAAGACTGAAGCACACAGAATCCCTCATAGAGCATTTCTGTAACGGCACTTGGTTTACAATGGCCATGGCTGCTGCAGTCAATGATCTTCAGTGAACAGAATAGATTTCCTAGATTTAATATTGTGTAGTGTATTTTACATTAGTTGTAAGACTCAGAAATGCTGGTTTTTTATCAGATATTTCTCTGGATTTAGGGGTGGTATTAATGCTGTGAAAGAAGACAGAATAGTTGGCAGGAATATTCAGCACATGCAAAAATTAGATGGAAAGACTCCAAGGACTTTTTTCCCTCTAAATCATTGTCCTGTTCCTCAAGCTTACTTGGCATGTAATTAATGCAAAAAAGTGACATTTCTAAAGAAAATCTGTGCTTGCTGTCCAAAATCCTTCACTAACAGTTAGCAGCAATGTTCTCCCAATTTAAAAGTAAGTTTTTCTCAGCTCTTCACTGGCCTTAGAAAGGAAGAGACTGTAATAAATGTGATATTAGAAAAATAATTGCAAAATAAAACCGAGTGCTATGTGTTGTAAAATTGATTCCCTCTTGGTCCTGACCCAAGAACAGTAATGTTGAGGAATTTGCCAGGCCAAACTCTTAATGTGTGTAGAAGCCTCATCGCAGCTGTCTTGGCTGCATCATTTGGACATCCACTAAGGACATGGACTTAAGGACCTTCATGGCTTTTGAATAATGATGAGGTTCATAGTCAGCTTCACTGTGTTCACACGGAATTAAAACAGGCCCTGGAGTAGGCTCACTTATGGCATCTGTTCTCCTTGCTGGTATTGGAACATGTGAACCAGTGCTAGCACAGGTATCTTTGTGGTTTTCTTTTTTTTGTTGGTTTTTTTTCCCCTTAGTTTTAATCCTCAGAAACCATCTCCTTTAGAAACATGAACATGTGAGCTGACTTCACTGATTGCTTTTTATTTTCAAACACTGTGGCATTTTCTTATACTTTGTCCCACTCCCTGCTGAAAAGAAGGAAGATTCCAAAGAAATCTCATGTAGTGATCACCACCACCTTTTTGTTAGACATTGAACTTGCGACAAAGCTTAGCCACTGCACACTACAAGTAATATCCTCATACAGTTTTACAAAAATAAATTTTATTCTATTGAACAGCTATTCAGTGCATGTGAGAATGGCAGCACCTTACTAGCTGTGTATAGCATCCACCAAGATGCTAGGACATTCTCTGAAATGTTTGCTTGCTTCAAATCCTGCTGAGTTTAGATGCCCAGTATGAGCAATGCAAATATGATTCTTAGCAGGTTTCATCTGCAGATCTCAAAGACTTTGCAAAGGAGGAGATGATCCCTATCTGAATTTCACCAAAAGGAGTACAGAAACAGAGAGACATTGCGTAGCTTTCCCTTCATGAGTCCTCCAGAAGGCCAGGAGCAAAACCAGAAAAAAAAAAAAGTCTCAGTACTGTGAGAAAATATATAAAAACTCAATCTATTCCATTGTTCCCGTCCCTCATATTTGTTTATGTTTGATTGTAAAAATCTAACAGAAATATGCCATCCAATGGAACTCTAGGTAGGGAAGAGGAACCATCCTGAGGGAGATCTAGCTTAGATTTAGACCTTGTCTACATCAAAGAATTTGCACTTGTGCTGACACAAATCTTTGCCCATGGAAGCTGTACAAACACAATGCAGCTGTTACACCAGCCTGGCTCAGAACAAATGTAACTATATTGATATTTTTATACCTATGCATATTTTTTTAATGTTGACAAGTTTCCTGGTGTTAAGGACGCTAGAGATGCTATTTTACTTGATATCACTTTTCCACCAGTGCAGCTTTTAGAAACAGGCTGTCAATGTATTTTTTTTCCACCAGTTATACCCTGTGAACAATGTCTCACTCTCAGAATAGGTTCCACTCTGTATGATCTAGGCTTGCAAAACTTGGCCTTTGGTGAGACTTTCATGTATTGAGCCATGCTGTGCAGATCCCTGTAGAGAGAATAAAAATTAATGATCTTTTTACATATTCATTTTTAGCTTACCACATATTTAGATAAGTGGTGCTCTACAATTCTGGTTGATGGGATTTCAAAAACAAGGTTGACTTGTCTGCACTGGCGCTTTTCTTTCTTCCAATATTCCTGAAGCTCCTTAGTGGTCATTGAAGAATTGGAACCTTGGGATACATTGGAATCTAAAAACAATATATTTAATATTCCAGATTGTAACCTTTGCGTTTGGAAAGAAAACTCTTACACGTTTATTGTGAAAGCAGAGCCTAGAATTTCTAATGCTCTAACAGCAACACCTGGAAACTGCTAAGTCATTCCAGTATGAATAAGCACAGCTCCAGATTGCCTGAGACTAAACTGGCTGCAGAATATAAACTTTCTTACCTGATGGCAATGGCCTGAAGTAGCAAAAAATACTATCAAGAAGAATCATACATCTAGGCTGTAACCTCAGGCACAGCCTGAACAAGAATCAAGCTTCAGCACCCAGAAGCAGCCCTAGGAAAGCCTAACTCAGTCCTCTGAATTAGATGTTTCTCCAGGCTTCTTTGTTGCTCAGAGCAAGAGATAATGCAGTGCAGCTGCAAACTCAGACACACGTTAAAATCCTGACCAGATTCAAATGTTGGGGCTGTGCAGTAAGAGGTGAAAGCTGAGGCATACCCTAACCTCAAAGGAGAAACTCGGATAAGCAGCAGAGCTAGGGGGGAAATTCTCACTTCCTCTTTTCTTTCAAAGCTGAGCTGATGCCACAGCGATACTTACTTGTATACTTCTCTGCATGCCCACACCCACGTATATATATATATATATGTGTGTGTGTGTGTGTGTATATATATATATACACAAAATGAGGGACAACACATTGAAGAGTTTGCTTATAGGAGAATTCAGGGTAGTTTTTCATAAGGCTGTTTTCTCTGTCTTTGAAATCCTGTGATAACAGTTTCCATCGGGTGGCCTAAAGGACAGCAGAATGGGCAATGTGAATGGAATATTTGCATTTCAGTGGGCACATCAGTCTCCATTTGCTAAAATGATGTTTCTGCCAGTGTAGTCAGCTGAAGTCATTGTCTGCAACGTATTTAACATTCAGACAGTGGAAGCGAATATTGCAAATGAATGGGAAGATAACTGCTTGATACAGAAATAGAACTGTAAAGGCATTGTAAAATACCTTTGGTGTCCTCACTGGGGTTTGGCTCGATCTCTGCAAAGCATCTATTGCTTGAGTGATGTGCTGTTTAAACAGCTTTGCAGGGGCTTTTCTTGAAGAAATTGTATGTTATGGATTGTATTTAACATTTTTTAATAACAAATGAGAGCAATTTTAGGCATAGTAGAAATTCAGTGTAGCTTCTCCCCAAGGCATGTGATAGACCAAGCTTATTTTCAATGTAGTTCTTGGTGTCCTTGCTACTGCTGTCCAAAATTCAGATTTTGTGATGTACAGAAAGCACGTTCACGAGAAGGGCCATCTGATGACCACTGGTTTGGTCCATGGTGTGTAAGTAAGTCTGGAGCACACTTTAGGAGGAAGGATTTAAAAGGAAAACCTTACGTATATGTACACCAGCTTGTGCACCTGCTTTACCATTGCTATATTATTATTACAAGTTCAGTGGAGCAACAGCAGTATAAATCTGCAGAAAGCAAAAGATTTTATGTAAAAGGTCAACGGCACTGATAGTTACATGAGAAATAGAAGGAAAGGATAGCGTCAACCTTGAAGACCATCTTTTCCTGGGTTTTCTTTGCTCAGTTGACATGAAATTTCAACTTTGGGATGGTTTTGTTCTTCCTCAGATGGAGCTGTGGCACAGAAAGGAGTAATCCTGCTTCCAGCTTCCAAGAGCTCTCTCCCTGCTGTGTTGTGTGGGTCTTGGTCCATTGCAAAGGTGTCACTGAAAGACTACAATAAGTATGATATTTCTTAGTAAGAGTCCTTTAGAGGAGCCAGTCTGATAATCATCTTTTTTATTGATTTGCTCATTGGCGTCTGTGAACAAATTTTGGGTCATCTATTTTATTTCATAAATACTAGAGTTAGAAACACACATACACAACTGTTAGTGAAGAGCCATTGCTATTGCCACTGAAAGTGTTTGGAAATCTTTTTGCCAAATTAATATCAAATGTGGAAACCATAACAAGAAGGTATGCTAAATAAGATGAGATGGAGAACTCCGGCTCCATATTTATCAGCGAGATTTTGTCTGAAATTTCAGTGGGGACAGATTTTGCTCCTTGTACTTTACCCTCAACCTTGCAGTAGTAGTATGGATGAACTCAGCTCTTGGAGGTAATTTGTATGACTAGCGGTCCGATTTCTCCATGTTGCTAGAATTTACTCTTCTTAAGACTCCAGAGTTTGGCATCTCTTTTTAACCACTGTGCTGGCTTGTAGGCCAAAACAAGCTGACCTCTCAAACAATATTTTTGTCGTATTTCTGTTTCATTTCCCCTCCAGAGACTTATCTCTGATCTGTGAGAAAGAAACAACTATACCTCATAATGGCTGGGTAGAAAGAAAATTGACTTTTCTAGTTGTTATGTAGAAGATTTCTCCCTTTGCTTGTCTTTTTCACCCAAATACAGTACATGTCAAAGATTTTTATGTTTATCTTAGGCAAGGACTGCTATTTTACATGTTCATAAAATGCCTAATACAATATGGCCCACCGATTGGATTGGCCATTTTACCACATATGTCTCCCTGGGATGGATTTTTTTTTCTAATATCTAATTATAACATGAATGTGCTATACCAGCAGTTGAAAAAGTTTTAAGAGTATCTTAAAAGCTTTGCTTTTTCAGGTAGTTAGCATGACAGAGAAACTTTGCTCACAATTCAGTCAACAGGAGAGTCAGTAAAAAATACTTCAAAATGTTCTTTTTGAATACATAATATATATATACAATTTATCTATGTATAAAAACAGTTAAAAACATAATTTTTATTATAAATAATAAAACAGAAATACAACATGACTGCAAACAGCAGGCTGCAGAAGTGAGTGGCATGTTATGCAAGTATCAAAATTTTGTTTCACTTTCACATCTAAAAGTCATTTTAAGCAGTTTTAACCAAGCTACTGATTTCTACACTTAAAAAAATCCAGAATACAAAGAAACCTGGAACAAATTATATAGTTATATTTTGAAGAAACATTCAGCCCGTTCTTTTTCAAGGTAAATGCCACTCAAGCTGCTTCACTGAGTTATAAGTAACATCAGAAACTGTAGTCAAAAAACACGCACCTGGGAGCTTCGGAAGGGATGTTAGTCGTGGAGGATTTGGAGTCTGGATAGGCTCAAGGAGGGCTTGTTTTTCATTTTCAAACTACAGAAAAATATGTCTTTGTTTTCTTGAGAGAGGCACATTCTGTGTTTTACAAGAAGGAAGGAAGAAGTCTCGATTAAATCAGACTTCCTCATCCAATTGGCTCACTGCTTCGGCGGTGCCTGATTGCGCATGACATTGCCTACGTGCTGGGAAGGTCCATGCGCTGGGAAGGTCCATGTGCTGGGAACATCCATGTGCTGGGAACGTCCATGCGCTGGAATGTCCATGTGCTGGGAACATCTGTGCGCTGGGAACATCCATGCGCTGTGCCCCGGCGGGACGCGGCCTCACGTGAGCTGCGCCGCTGCGCCAGCCGCACCCGCGCAGGCAGAGGGGAGAGTGCAGCCGGAGCCACAAAATCCATGGAAACTTCTCCACGTGCGAGTCAGAAACCAAGAAAATACAATTAGCAAAGGAGGGAGGAGAAAAAAAATCAAATATACAAAGTTGGTTCTTGGAAAAGTAGACCGTGTAGAACATCTTTAAAATACAGACTTCCCATGCAGCTCGGGAAAAAAATGCAAATAATACCACAAAAAATAGCCTCATTCTGTATAAACTTACATTTTTGACAGAAATCCTGATTCTACACTGCGCTCAAGCATATGATTAATTTAAAATATCTGCTTAATTAAAGTTCAGAAAGGAGCATTATTATATCTGACATGACTACTAAACTTGAAAAGGACTGCTGCGAGTGCCTAGAATTAATCCCAGGCTTAAATTCTTTGTTGAACTGAAGACAAAGTGAAGGAAAATGACATATTAATCTAGGTGTCCAGTGCACAGAGGCTTCCTTTTGCAGTTGGCTTGACTTTGGAAAACTGCTTGAAGTATCAAGATAGTTATTTCTAGGGTAAATAACACAGACATTATCTTTTATAGTAATGGCAGCTTCTCAGTCACCAAAGCTCCCTCACTAGAAAAAAGACAAGAGATTTTAATGCAGCACAAATGTGAGAGGAAAAGATCCAAAGGACCACATGGATCCTGCCCTGCACATTCCTTTAAAACAAACAATTTCAAGAAATGTAAAATTGGGGCCATAAACTGGCAATGCGTCTCTTCTGCTTTATTCACAGCATAAAACAATGCCAATTTTAACTTGGACTCGGTCTAAATGTAGAAGTTTTGCCAAAATAGCTGTCAGAATGATGAAAAATCCCTTCTCTGGAGCCATGGCCATACTGGCAAAATCCCTCACGTAGGTGTTATTGTTTTGGCAGCATCCTCTAGCCAGAATAGCATGATCCATTTGGGAAACGGATTTAAGTTATACCAGAAAGGAATTCTTTTGCTGTTGTAAGATGTGTCTCCACAAATGTGTGTTTGCCAATAGAGCTCTAAGGTGTAGCTCTACCAGCCAACCCTTTTAAGTACGCATGAGGCATGAGTTTCTGGCTCAAGCTTCATTCCTTTAAAGTTAGATTTATGTTTTTGGTTACAATTGTGAACAAAAACCAAGGGGAATTTCACTCATGCTGACAGTTCACAGATGTATCCAAGCCTTTTATTTTGAATCTGCTCATTTATGTCTGGCCAAAAAGCAATATATTATTTTGTGATGCTTAGTGCTATTGTCCTGTTCTTGCTGCAGCAGAAGGGGAGAGGAATTAACATTTCAGTATGTTAAGCACAACCTTTATGGTCAATTATTTCAGAAGAAGTAATGCCTACTTAAATTAATGTGAATGAGTAAAAAATGAGAAATTATGAGTATGGCTGACTGATATAAATTTAATTTACGGATTAAAGGTACTCTGCAAGATTTCTGGTGCCTCCGTAGAACCAGCTGGTACAGCCACTGCTGCCTCCTAGCAGGTTGTAGGTAA